TAAAATTTGTGAGTAGGTCTTGAGGCCAAAGAACAATAATACTGAGGATTATGACTCGAATTATTGGAGCACTCTTTTAAGGTGTTTTGTTTGTGATTAAGGTGGAGGTTTCAGAAATTGAAGATCTAGAGTTCAAATCCTCCTATTCTCTCTCCGCTCGTTAAGTCCTACTCCCCCTCTACTAGAAAAAAAATTTTTTAAAAGGTGTTTTGTTTACTTTGGTGGCCAAGGTATAAATTTCATGTTTTTAGAATTGCTAAAGCTGGTAATTTGTCACAAGAACAATAAAAAGATACTGCTTTTTGCCAAGCATCGCACCAAGATCAAGAGGTCAAAATTTTCGGTTTTTTAAAATTCTTTTTTAATTTTAAAGAGGCTTGTTTGTAAATCTTAAGACCAATTTTCTTTGTATCATTTAGTACATCAATAAACGTTGAGAATTGTTAAAATTTTATTTTTAGCAACAAAAATTCATAAGCTATCCTCACTATGTATTCTTTTTCTTCTAAACGGATAATTCCAGATATTTATCTCTTATCCTTCCCATAATTTTTTTCTAGTTCATAAAAAAAAACAATGCAAACTTTGTTTTTACTAAAACATAAGACCAACTGATTGTTTCCATGGGCAAACAACACTTCCGTTGTTGTTGTTGATTTTTTTTTTTTTTTTGTTTGGGTTGATTGCAGGAGATTTGAGCTATGACCAGCCTTTTGGTGCACTATTTGTTCCAATAATTCTATTACCTCAAAAATATTATAACCACACATAAAAGGTGCTATAATTAATTAGTAATAGCTACTATTTTTCTCATCAAGTTTCAAGTTGCCTTGTTACTTATGTATTTGTGGGTATTTTGGGTTCTGAATTAAGATAGCCTACGGCATCTTAGTTAAAAAAAGAATAAATTTGGAGTGCCAAAATCATTAGTCCATCACAATTGTTTAGAATTGGCTTTTCCTTTTCTTTGTAAAAGAAGAGTTCCAAGTGTTATTCACCATAATTGTTTCTTAAAAAAGGGTAACCTTTCCAATACGAATTCCATGCGTGCAATACTGTTAAATTTCCTAATTCTTCTAGGAGTCGGTTTATACATGAGGTGGATGTATATATATATAATCCTACAAGCAGTATTGAACGGCCACAAAATTATGAATAAAAGGCCCTTTAAATTTTAGCCCCTTTAGAGAAGACGGTCGACAAAATTCACGATTACGAATTCTTCTTCCACATTGAATCTCCAGCTAGTAAGAAGATGACAGAGCTTCAAGAATGGACGCAAGCGGATAGAGAATTGGTGAGGAAGTTGAGCATGAGAAGAGAAATAGAGGGCTTACCCTCGTTTTCTTCCATAAATACTAGTCTAGAAACAGGTTTAATTTGGGGCAGCAGTGACTACTATATTAGAAGGCAAAAATTTCTTAGAAGTTACACATTTAGGAAGAAAGAAACTGCATCCCAGAGGGCAAAGAAGTTGTGGGGCAAAGTGAAGCAAAAGGTCTTGAAGCCAAAGAACAATAGAACTGAGGATCATGAGTCGAATAATAGTAGCCCTCTTCTAAGGTATTTGTTTATTTAGGTGGCTAAGGCACAAATTTCATGTGTTGTGGAATTGCTAACAAGCGCAGTAATATGTAAAGGAAAACAAGAAAAAGATTTTGCTACTATTTCCCAAGCACGGCAACAAGATCAGGAGGTAAGTTTTTTTTTTTTTTTTTTTTTTTTCAATAAAGAGGCTTGTTTGTCAAGCCTTGATATTATAATTTCTTTTTGTTATTTAGTACATCAGTAAAAGTTGAAAATTGTTTTGATTCTGTTCTAAGTACCAAAAATTCATTCGCTGTCCTATTCATTTTTTTATCTTCTACATGGAGGATTCCACATCTTTTCTCTTATCCTTCGAGTAATCATTTCTAGTTCATAAAAGAAAGACAATGCAAAATCTGACCTCAAATTAATCATCCGAGCTCCCATCAATATGCCTCAATATGAGGTTTGTTCTAAATTCGTACGGGTATGTGGTGCACCCGTCTGGTCTAATTGTGGTTTAGTTCCAGTCAAGTTCCCCTGACTCAGTTGTTATGACAAAAAAAAAAAGAATGACTGATATCGATAGAATATACTACATTATTATTTTATTTTGTGATGAGATTTCTAATGTAAAAGGTTAAACGAAATATCCAATTGAGTTGATTTTTGGATCATAAAACTTTACTCTTTTTACCTCAATGTATATAATTAAGTACGACTGTACGGTTATTAATCTCATTAGACAGATATCCAACAATCAAATTTACCCACCTAAAGGGTTTTTTTATTGGAACTTCGATCTTCCCACTAAAAAATTAAAAAAAATTCAGTAAATTGCAGAAATTAACGTGATGAGAGCACGGAGCCAACCAAAGTGAAGAGTTACTTTCTCACTATGGTTCGAACTTTTCAAGTTACTATTAGTGTTTCAAAAGCATCTACTTGGTTCAATTTGATGATGCGCAACAAACCAGGGATTGTGTTGTTTTGAACTTGGGGGGCGTCGGTGTAGTTCATTGTTGAAGGAAAAGTGTGGAAAATGAAGCAGAAGTAGAAACGGAGACCGGATCCGCGACCCAGGCTGCTGATCCACCCTGCGACCCATATCCAATTCAATGTCCCAAGCCGATCGTTGTTGTATAAGATTTTCTCATTTTAAGCAATTTTCATGATTTTTGAGTTATTTTCGATTTCCTGGTATCCGTTTGAGTCGTGTAACTCTACTAAAACATATCTAGCATAATAACTGTGTCCTATCTGGGTTTCTTTGTTAGTTAGGAAATTGTGTCGAATTAGGAATCTTGTATTATTTCCAAATTAGATTAGGTTTTTGTGTCTTATAAGGTTATAAATAAGGCAACGCTTTAATAAATAAAGAAAAAAGTGATATTTTTCCAGAAAAATCATCTTGAGAGATAGCTCTCTTGGCTTTTTAAATACCCTTGAACAATTTAGAATTGTCTTGAGTGTTTGTTTTGGCATATCAATCTAAAATCACACTAGTTTCATAAGGTTGTGGCATTGTACTATCTTTCATAAGGTTCGCTAGTTTATGTGGTTACGGGTCAGGATCGTATCAACGTTCACAACTACGGAAATTAGAGGAGTCTGTATAGGAATTCGGTTATTCAAACTTGTGTTAATCACCAACGGTTCTTGGGCTTGTTAATGCGAATTTCATTCACCAACGGTTCTTATCATGACATTTAGCACAATAATGATCAATAAACCTTGACGGTTGGTTTCCTTTTTTAATTATAAACCTTGACTCAAAAATAACTTTGTTTAAATAATGAGTAAATTGCATGTAACTCCTTGTGATTTTTTTTATTGCCGCATAACTCCTCTGAGGTTTCAAAATATCTACTTCACCTTCTATGATTTTATATAAAGTGAAAACTTGATGGAGAATAGTCTATGTGATGCGTTAAATGAAATACCAATAGTGCCCTTACTTAAATGCTAAATCAATTGATGGATTAACTATCTTGTGTAAAAGTATAAAAGAATTACGCGGATAAATGTAAAAATTACACGAGGATAAAGTGAATATTGTACAAAACATAAGAGGGTTACATGGAGTTTAAAATTTTAACACACACGCTTTTAGAGTACGTTTGGTATAAACGTAGTAACTGATTAAGATTTTCACTTTACATAAAATCATAGGGAAGTTATGTGCTTATTTTGAAACTTTAGAGGGGTCGTCTTAGTATTTTGTAAAGACACAAGGGGATTATAAATAATTTACCCTATTGTACAGAATGATTAAATTCGACAAAATCAAAATAAGTTATAGTAACATGTGGGATATCTACCCAATTTTCTCCTTTTTTTAAAATTATTTTCTTCTCCCACATTCTTGGAATGATTTTTATCGTAGATGGTCCCGACTTCAAATGCCTAAGAGCTTCACATGATAATGTAAATCTGGCGGAGGTGTGGTCGCCAAGTAACCAATGATGTAAAGTCTGGTGCTACGCATGTATTTACAACAGTGGTTCATTCAAATAACTAATTCTAGCCGATTTTTCTTTTAATCTAAGCTATTGTAATAGATCCATTTATTTCTGTTTAAGTTATTGCTTTACCGGATGCTCATAATTAGTTGAAATTGCATTTAGATTGAATAACAACGTTTCAGCTACTATTAATCGGGGGAAAGGATATGCTGAAAAAATTAGCAAAAATTACACTTTCTCCCCCAATATTTAATCCATGAGTCAAATTAGTCTCTAATGTTTCAATTAAAACAAATTTGGCCCCTAAAATTTTATGTTTTAGGAAAATTTTGGGACAATTAATGGAAAAATTGCGAATTCTAACAATCATATTAAATTGGTGTCAGTGAAAAATTTGGCTTTACACTTTTGGTCCCTAATTTTGAAGTTTTTATCAATGGATCCCTCAGGTTTTTAATACTTCCAATTAAGGGTTTAAGATTAAATGCAACATGAATTGAATTAAATATATTACAAATGTGTTCTTAATTGCATGAACATTCATGAAAACGCTTTATATCAACGTAACATCATCATTTAGTTTAAAAAAGCATCTCTTTGTTAAACGAGTTAAAACTAGATAACAGCTCTAGGTATAAAGTTTGGATGGTACAAAGTTTTTGTATAGAGAAAATAGTAAAAACATTTTGATCTCTGTGATTAAATGTTTATACTAAAATAGTGGCCAATATTTTCAACATATTTAACATTTTAGTACAAAATTTTTGTTGCATTAACCGTATATAGTGTTTCTTCTTTTGAAAAATCTGCATTAACACTTCATACACTTGAATTCAAAATTGGATTACACCGATATTAATGCAGAGATATTTGACAATGTACTAATAATTGGAAATTTATTTTATTATGGAAGTAATAATTGTAAGAGATATTTGGCATTTCTATACTATATAAAGGTGACGTTGGAAAACTTAGAGCATGCATTGTAACAGTTTGTCCATAAACAAAATGAACTATATCACAAGTAAAAGTTTCTTTGCCCTTCTTCTTTTGTCATTTTTCTTTGTGGAAACAATACTACATGTTCATGGTGATGGGGAGCCTTATGATGTTCATATAGTTAATCGTTTGCCCGATAAATTAAGGGCACATTGTTTTTCTGCAGATGATGATTTGGGATTTCGCACCCTGGATTTATCTGAAGACTGGAATTGGCATTTCAGAATGGCACTTTTCGAAAGAACAGCATTTTACTGTCATTTTTGGTGGTTTGCCAAACAAGGCGGTTTTGCTGTTTTTGATAGCAAGATTTCTGATTACTGCGGCCACTCCAGCACTAATGAATGCAATTGGGAAGTCAGGGAAGATGGTTTCTACCTTTTTGATAGAACAGCTCAATCTCCAAAATTCTTTAAAGCGAATGATTGGTATTGATGGACTATACTACATTTTTTTTTTATTTTGTGATGAAATTTCTAATGTAAAAGGCTAATTAAGGGAACTTTGGCATGTTTTGTTGCATATCTAATTACATTGATTTGTGGATCATAAAACTTATACTCTTTTTACCTCTTTGTATATATTGGGTTCTAAGAATACAAACTAAGTTGCTCGTGAATTGGTTCCCTTTGCCAAATCATCTAATTATGTTTGAATTCCTTTGAAATTCTCCCTCCACTTTTATCGATCATTTTGCTGCCGGATGATTTCCAGCAATCTTAATAATAAAATTTCTTCTTTTAATCAAAAAAAGTACAATTATTAATCTCACTAGATAGATATCCAATGATCAATGTACCCACTTAATGATTTTTCATTGGCACTTCGATCTGCAAAAATTGACAATTAGCACAATAATGTTCAAATAAACCTTGACGGTTAGTTACAATTTTTTTTCTTTTATTTAAACCTTGAATTCAGAATCATTTTGTTTAACTAGTATCACAGAATGATTAAAGTTCGATAGTGACATGATAGATGGCAAAATCAAAATCAAAATCAGAATCATTTTTCTTTTTTATTTTTTATTTTTTTTTTGGTTGAATGTAGATCGAGATTTCACCTTGACAAGGGATAAAATTGGGTCGTGTAGCTGAAGGAAGAAAACAACTTTCAAATGCCATATTTATAGTGGGTACCCGGCAGATCAGGCCTAAGCCCACACGGATCTGTTCGCAAATCCAATCCATAGGTAAATCCTTTATCAGATCTGCACCTGAATTCATTACATGGATTTAGCTGCGGATCCAATCCAGATGGCAACTCCTTGGATCAAATTTGTGGATCTGCCACTCACCCAAGTGTATCCTCCAAGAGTAATTCCATTTTTGAGCGTACAAGCGTAAGACTGCAAATTAATTTCAACAGTACTATATAAGAGAAAAAAGAAAAGTTATACAAAATTTCATGTTTCTATGATATTTGACGTAGTTAGTCTATTGTATTTTTTTGGATTAATCTTTTCTATACTGTCAATGTATACATTGACGGGATTGGATGAATGTCACATCATCTGAATTTGAATTTGAATTTAAATATCAAATTTTGTATATATAGCATGCATCTAAACCCACTAGCGTATACGTTGATAGTGTATAAAAAATTTATCCTTTTTTATCCTATTATTAGTTATTAAAACTTAGGAAAATAAGAAAACATAATTAAAATAAGATATTTTTAAAGGACAAATAGGAAGTGAGTAAAGAGGTGGACAAAAAAGGGGCAAGAAAATCCTTTACAATCTGATAGTTTCCAATTTATAAGAATTCTTGTAAGAAACTTGTGATCTCGGAGGCATGTCCTAACTTGTGATGGTGACGAGGGTTGAACTCATCTAAACTTTTATTCGCCAAAAAACAAAAGCATCCGATCAAGACATGTTGGCAATATTTTTTCATCCATTTATTAGTGCACTGAAATGATGAAAAAACCATCCAACTGCAAATATATTTTTTCTGTTCATACAGGCCTAAAACCACTGTAGTAGCTACAATAATTTTGGTGTACCTAGGTTCATTGACGCTTTTACATATTCAATATTAGTAGTTGAGGAGACATTAACATGATTTTTCTGTACCCAAGTCCATTGACGCTTTTACATATTCAATATTAATAGTAGAGGAGACATTAGCGGTGGCCTGGCCTGTTACTACTACTACCACTATCTTGTAAATAAAGAGGTAACCTATATTGCTAGTAATGATGGACTCATTACCTACAAAATATCTTGTTGGTCCTCAAACTATTATGTTTATATGCTTTTATTAGTTATTACTTTTATTTTTTGGCAGTCTAACTTCTAAAAGCACATATTTCTTCTCAGCCTCTGTTTGTTTGGGCTGTTAAAAATTGCACCACACTCAATCCCATATGTAAAAACCGAGGGTATGATAAGTTAAAATAGGAAAAGAGATAGTCCTTAGAAAAAGGGCTTTCATTCAATGCAAATATGACCAAATAAATCAAAATAAGGAATTCAATGGAATAAAATGTTAGAGAATTTAACACAAAATGGGCCTTGCCTCTTTGAACTTTCTTATTCCAAGGAATACGTTGATATGTGATTCCAAAGATATATAAAGGATTGTAAAGTGGTGGTAAAACTATCTCTCTCTTTTCTTTTCTTTTTTATAAATCTACTCAAATCTAGCAAGATTCATAGAAAATTGAACATAAATTTGGAATCTACACAAAACCATAAAGTCCAGACGTATAATTTCATCTAAATCTTGTCGGTCTAGATAGATGTTAATCATTGGCCATCGGGGTTGACCGCTAGCAAGTAGTTGTACCCGTGACTGGACGTCTTGGAGGAAGAAGATGATCAAAACTATGTCATTTTGAGATAAATTTTGTTAGGTCGAACCGTTAAAATTGATGGAACAATTAAAAGTGCGTGGTTTTAGAAGTTGAATGTAAACAATTAATAGTTAAGATTGCTAAAAATGTTCAAACTTAATATTTCAAGGACCAACCAACCTTTTGGCTGGCTACCATTTCTTCCTCTTAATCTATTTGAATTGATTTGTGGATGTGCATCGAAAAGCCATAGCTTCAAAAGGATTCTCGATTTAAAAAAATCGGTAAGTAAGTACTGTGACTTAGCTGCTTAATGAAAATATCATTCTCGTCAATCATAGTTTTAACAGAAATTGATGAAATTTTAGGTCTTTAATTAACAAGTGCAAAAGAATCTGAAATAGTAATTGTGTTTTTGTCTTTTCTCTTCTTCTGCTGTTTTGCAGTAATTTTGTAATTAAGAAGAATTTTAGTGTGTAGGAGAGGGAGGCAATTTCGGTAAGGTCAGAATCCTGGGGCCCATTTTCCGAGGACTAGGAGGGGTTCACCGCGCGCACCGCGCGGTGTTATTTTTGTGTTGCCCAGAAAATGTCCAAATTTTGAAGTGGAAATATGATAATCGTGCGGAGAAGTAAATGGAAGATGTAAAAATATTAAAGAATGAGTAAACACAATTAATTTTGTTGGATTATTGTGTGGAGGATTGATTGTTTGGGGGGGTTTTAAATATACAAGAAGAATTAATTTTGAGGCTGTTTAACTGTTTGTATATGGTTGATTCAATTGTTTTTTATGGAACATGATAATTGGAACAATTAACGCGCTACTCTCGACAGGAGAATGGAATTGTGATACATGGTACAAAATAGGTGTATATTGAGAATGAAGAGGGTTAATATTTTTCAAAAAGGATCCCTGTGCAACAATTTATCTTCACAGTCAACGGAAATGGTCCCTAACCGAAGCTTATTGCTGGGAGAATGAAATAATTAGTTGGCAAACAGAAAGGCGGAATTGTTAGCGTTCTTGAGTTTGTTTGCAGCAATAATAGATGTTAGGTATTTGTAATGTACTTGCTGCATGCTTAATTTCATTGCAATGTAATTATATTTAGCAGGAATGTAAAGTGCGGTTCAATGAAATTAAAAATTGAACATGCGTGATGGAGAGGTTCAAGCGAAAAGTGAATTTCGGTTACAGATAAAACCACACTGCAGAAGTTAGGTACAAGCAGGAGAATTAGAATAAATTTCATAGATGCAAGACCATGGAAAGACTTTCTCGACTCCATCATCATCGAAGACTGAAAGTGTGAAGGTAGTTGATGATTCTGGAATGAAGACGAGGACTTCATTGTGCTGCAACTGATGCTGAAGAGCGAAGTTTCTCCAATTTGTTTTTAGCTTTTTTCCTTTCACACCAATCTCTGTAAGTTTTTCTCCAGTTCTAATAAGTAGTGTTGGAGTTCTCTGTCCATTAACGAAGTGATCGACAAATCTTGGGATTTTCTAATACAAAAGAGTGAAAGTGAGACGTGAGAACATAATATATAGATTCGGTTTAAAGGAATGCAGTGAGAGAGGGAAAAAGAAACAGTGTAAGGAAAGGTTACCAATGTGTTCGGGGATGCTGTATTAAATGTTTGATAGAAGGAAATCGAGTCAGTAAGATTTTGGGTTAAATCTGGTTTTATTGATGAAGCAACCGACTGCTGAATTATTATAGAATCTGCACTATTTGAATTTATTTAGCAAATAATAAAGCAGAGACAATTTTGTTACAAGTAACTGCACGATATAAAGGTTAGCATAACTGACCTTGTGGATGAGCAGCACGAGCCTGCAATAAATTTGGCAATGGAACTGTCCAAGATAGATAAACCTGTCTCTGCAGCTCCGAAAAATGGATGACATCAAAGATGAGATTGCCGGTATGGCGTAGGAGTAAGATATCATGTTTGTTAGTAATGTTTTCATGGTAATATTCATCCCAGCCTTCTTGGAATGAACGCTGACCGACCACAACAGGCCATTTATAAATTCCATGTCTGAGAATGATTGTATTGCGCTGGTGCTGAGCAAGTAATAGTTTGAATTGAGCAGACAGAATCTGCGTTTAGGACAGAAAAATAGAAAATGTGAAATGAATGCATATAACTGCAGTATACATTGCTAACAAGTAATTTCCATCGCATAGAAGAAAATTGGACCTCTCCTCTGTGATTGCATTTCAGTAGAAAACAACAGGCCATTGAGCTGCTATTTGTTAATCCATAGGTAGATGAACCTTCTGCCATTGATGTGATTGGAGAAGGTAATAAAAAAAATGTAAAAGATGTAAGTATTTGCAGGTAAAGAGAACAGCTGAACGTTAGGGATAACTCAAGGGAAGCAAGTAGGCAGCTTAACTCGCAGTGCTTTGCCTTGGATGTATGAGCTATTCAAGAAGTAGCTATATATAAACAATGAATGGCTAACAGTTTTTTTTATGATTTTTTTTTGTAGCCTGGTTGGCTCTCATTTTTTATTTACAGTCTACAAGGAGATTAATGATTTGTTGCATCAAAGATGCAGAACATGTTAATATTAAAAGAAGTGAACGCTAGGAACCCAAGGCCTGCTACCACCGTGCATCTATTTTATCTATTGTGTTTCAAAACAATTAAGGGCATAGTGCATTGTATAACACAGTTATGCTCAGGAAAGAAGCTCTATTTCTGCAAATGAATTGAAGGCTGCACAACTACACAATTTAAGGCTAATAGATACACTAAGTCTGAGGCAGGAAGCAGAGTAAATGGAGCTCACAGCAGTAGATGTGATATTTAATAAGAGAGTTATGTGCAGGGAAAAAGTTGAATAGACCCTGATAAAGGTATTCTGCAAAAGTTACCGTATAAGAGACAACACATTGACCACAAGGTCATTTAATGAGTTAAATAGAGTAGAAGATGAATTTAAAGGATACTGTGACAGGAACATAATAGCTGTAAAGCATCAATTCAAACACATAACTGGTGCTGATTGCAGCTTATCAGCAAACGTAAAAGGGGGTAGACCAAAAGCAGTTTAAGGGGTATCCATGAACAAAAGGACATTTTTCATCAATACATCAATCACCCTTCTAGGAATGCATAAGTACCCTTGCAAAAATAGATGATAGCATGTCAATCATAGAAATTAAGGATTTCGTGGCCAAAAGACTCAACAGCAACGAGTCAGTCGATTTTTTGCTTCTTGCTAGAGCTGCATTCTGCATCTTCATCCTCATTTGCTTCAGTGCTGTGTGGTTCATCAAACCTCTGAGAAAGCTGAACACAAACCTTTGAACGAGCAGTATTCTCCCCTGTGACCATATTTTTTTGATATGCGATATTATTAAAGCGAAAGTAAAATTCAAATGGAGAACAAAAAAAAAAACGTCTGCGAGTTACCTTCAGCCCCGAGCTGTACAGTCTCAGATTCTTTGCTAGGAAAAGGGGAGTCATCTCTTGGTTCATCTGTTAACTGGACAGAATCGGCATCATCATCAATTTCAGAGTAGTATATAACTGTGTAGCGCTGCCTTGAATCTGCCAGCTGCGTTTGAACAGGTTTGATGTGAAGGAGAAACGTCTTTGATTTAAGCTCCTTGTGGACAAACTCGAGGGGAAGCTCAACATTCTGCTAAGAGAGCGAAAAGTAAGAATAAAGTTGTATTAAATATCTTTATTATCAAGGTTCAGGAGTCAAGAACCTCATTAAAATGTTGCATTGCTTCCAGTGCACTAAACGCCAATAGGTTCTCTGCTAATTCGCCAAATACTGAAGCTGGTATGACACCAGTGGAATCAGCCAAATCAACATTAAAGCGGCATCTGAAAATAGACACACAATATGCAGCAATTCATGTTTTTTGATGTGGACCAGAATTAGATAGCAATGAACATAAGGCAATATAGCACAGGTATACTATTTAGCACCTAGGTACTGCAGGATGTTTCTCTTTGCACGAGTTACAGGTAAACTCGACTTGATAGTCTGCTGCTGTAGCTCGGCAACAGTTTTTGCAGCTCATGTACCAATATTTCTGGAAGATGTGCTCGAAAGAGAAGTGTGCCTTCACCCATATAGTCTAAAAAATGAGCAAGTATGAGTATAAAAAGACGATCATACACGAAAAGAGTATGAAAGCAGGGCAGCATGTTTCAGTCCCAAACCTTTTGTGATGAAGTGTGGTTTTCTGGCCTGATTTCAATGACAGCTGCGGATTATATTTAATGTAGTCCTTTTTTTCGACAATCTCTTTAATGAACTTAGTGTTCCTCAATGCCCTGGGTGAAAGGAGACATAAAAAAATGTTAGGACTGAAAGTGGGGACAGGGCTTACATCTGAAATGTGCAGAGGGCGATAACTGAAAAGAAATCGTACCAGTTTTTGAGTTCCCTTGCTTCTTGTATAGGTGGATCAACAAGAATCGCTGAATCAAACCAAGTACCTAGTGCGACCCCTATACGACAGGGAAAATGCACACATTTATTCACAGGTGTTGGAGGCGAATGCAAAAGCTAAACAGTAAAAATGGCGAAAGGTAAAATGGGTGCAAACCATTATAGTTGTTCACTTTAACTCTGCGAGCAATGATCACAGGATAGGTGTGAAGTTTAGACACTATCTCCTGTCCCTCATTAGCCAGAAAACTATCCCATAGAGACAATAGAACAGGCTGGGATCTGTGATCACGATAAAAGTTGATAGTTAGAGACTGGGAAAAAATGACCGTAGAGAAAAAGAAAGAAATGCAGCGTGAACATTTGGCTAAACTGAAGATTAAAGTCCTCACTCTTCATTAAGCAGGACAAATTTCTGAACATCTGATTGCCTTGAATTCTTGATAACTGTTTTCCTCTCAAGCGCACTAATCACAACTCCCAGCACGTCTATGAACAATACAGAGAAGGGATTAAAAAAACTTTGTTTAGAATGTAAACACATTAAGAGTAAAGCATTGAAAGACTCACCGACTGATTTAGTTTTGTCATCCATGTACTGAACTAAGTCAGTAAACTTCGAATAGCAGAATTTCACAGGCATGACTTCATCATCAATAGCAATCTCTTCAATAACAGTCCTGGTGCTGATAACCCACTGAATGGTAAGCTCAGAGGTCTGGAACTTCGGCGGTATAGGCCTGACCTCAGCATTGGAGATTTTATATTTTTTATAAATCTGCAGGATCTGGCTCATTCTAGGAATATCATCATTGAAGATGATTCCTTCGACTCTTGATCCCTACTTAAAGAGGTAAAATTAATACATTACAAAGAAAGCAAAACAATAGCGCACTTAAGAGATTACATCTAAAACTGAGCAGTAGCTTTGCTAAACCTCTGAATCATAGAAAACAAATTTCTGCTTTCTTGTTGGTGTCCCCATTGAATTTGTGATTTGTTGCTTTTCTTGAACAGTGACGATACAACTCCAATTTTTCATATGAGGCATAATATCCCGCATTGGCAGTTGGTTAGCCATCCTATAAAAACACAAGCTGATGGATAAATAAACAGGAACAAAGAGATCCAAAAAACACAGTAATCTAGTAATTTAAAATCTGTATAACCATCTTACTTTAGTAGAATCCAAGCAGAAAATGGTTTAGGCTTGAGTTAGTCTAAAAATTTCATCAAGGACAACATTTCGAGTTTTGCAATCCACTTTTATTCCATCAAATGTTCCAGGAACAAGAAGAATTTTAACTTTAGCAGCGGTCTTAGCTCTGGACAGAGCAACATACAACTGGCCATGCGAAAAAACTGGTTCTCGGAGATAGATGCCGACGTAGTCAAGAGTTTGACCTTGTGATTTATTGATAGTCAAAGCAAAACAAAGGCGGACAGGAAACTGTGTTCTTATGAATGGAATCCCATTTTTGTCATTGTCAGGCGTTTGAAGAGGTATCCTTGGAATAAAAACTCTTTTCCCTCGATGATGGCCAAAAACAATTTCAGCAGAAATTGTGTGTTGGCCGAGTTCTCTACATATTAACCTTGTGCCATTGCATAGACCCTCAGCTGGATTTAAATTTCTGAGAAGCATCAATGGGCAGTTTTCCTTTAACAGCAATCTATGAGGAGGGAGACCTTTAGGATCTTGAGAATTGAGAAAATCCTCATAATCACCTTGGTGCCGCTGATCAACAGTCTTATCCGAGCTAATATAGGTTTGAAGGCTTCCAGGAAATCTCTTAATCATTATTTCATTGAGCTCATCAACTGAGCTATTTTTTGGAGCAAGGATGCACCTATTAATCAGGTTATAAGGATCTTGAGAATAGAGGTTCAAATCTGGGAAGACGCTTTCTATTAACCTGTGCAAAAGAAAGTGTATTGATGGTGGAAGTAGGAGGAATGACTACTAAAAAGGAACTAAATCTGATTATATGCAGTTAGCTAACCTGTTTAAAGACTCCTCTTTATCGTAGTAAGGAATAACTATATCTGATGATAAAGTTATTTCACCCTCATCATCAATAGGCTCTCGGCCTTCTCCTACTCTTAAAAGGAATTGTGAAAATCCTGGATCAAACATAACTCGCATATTTTCTGTAAGCCTGATTTTATGTAGTTTAGGCCACAGAGGAGAAATGGGGAAGGTTGACTCTATGAGAACTTCTTTAGTTGCTTGTTCAATGACAGGTAGGGTCTGCCGAAAATCCCCTCCAAAAACTATCACCTTCCCTCCGAAAGGTAAATCTGAGTCTATTAAATCTCTCAGTAATTCGTCAAAAGCTTCAATTGTGTGTCGTTTAGCCATTGAAGCCTCATCCCACAAAATAAGCTTTGATTCAGAAATGAGTTTTGCAGCCGAACTTTGTTTACTGAGCTGACAACTTTTAGTCTTCGAGAAATCAAGTGGTATCTTGAATCTCGAGTGAGCCGTCCTTCCGCCAGGAAGGATTGATGCCGCAATTCCAGATGTTGCTACTGCAATAGCAACATGGTTTTGTGATCGCAAGGTCGCGAGAAGCGACCGATATAGGAATGTTTTACCGGTGCCACCAGGGCCATCAACGAAAAATGCCTGACCTTCTAAGAAAAAACATGCTGCGAGGATTAGATGGTAGGCATGCTTTTGTTCAGAATTTAGCATCTGAGGCAACAACTGATCCTCAGGTGCTACTGTTAAGCTCCTTTCACTCTCAATTTCCTTTGTTAACCGTTCAGCGTAACCGCATGAAAAATCATCAGAGACAAAGTGAAAATCTGTAATGCTCTTGCCCATCTGTTCAAGCGAGCTGTTAATATCTTCTAAAACCTTTCGTCTAATTTCAGGAGAAGAAAACCCGTGGAATGGCTGCTGGTGATGATAGTCAGCAGAAAACTCAAGCTCAAATTTTTCCCAAAGTGATTTAGGACTTGTCGGAGAACAATACACAAGGAGAGTGGCAAATAGTAGCCTCAATGAGGACGGCATCTGAAATGCCACTGCTTCTTGAAGTGTCTCCTCTATATATGCATCGGACTGCAAAAGACCAAGAGCCAAAGCAGCTTCTCTAAACGAAGCTAACCTTTGTTCATTTACAGTCAAAAGGTCTTCAAAAGAGGTCGGTCCAGCAATGTGCGTTAGAAGCAACCTCAAATAATACCTCTCTCTTTCTTTTGGGCTAACAGTCACCATCCGACCGATCACCTTTTGACGCTTTCTTTCAGTCCATTCTTTATATTTAGCAGACCAAACAAAATATTCAGGAAAATCTCTGTACAAGCATTTCAGATGTTGTGCTCTGAGATTCGTTTTGTTCATGTGGAAAAATTGAGTTAACATTGTCTTAGAAAAGTCAATTTTACCCAGCAACTGTAGCAAATCAGACCCTTTGTCAAAGGAAACGAATTGCTGGTCTGGGAGGTGGACCTGAAGGGTGTAAATTGCTGGGTTCATTTCATTCAGCCTAAATTCATAAATGCGCCAAAAAGCTTCTGGAGGCGAAACCCATCTACCTTTCTGGAAGTTTTTTATTTCATCAATATCGTCTGCCGATCCACAGGAAATAATCTTAAAGCTCACCTGATCATGTCCTTTGAAAACATACTTATACAGGTACTTCACGAGCTTAAGAGTAGAACAAATGACGGGTATTTTACATACATGCAAGCTAAAAAATACCGAATTACACCCGTTCACTGCAAGTATACAGATCAACTAGTAGTTTAGGGTATATATCGGGTCGATCCCACAAGGAAGAGTGAACAATTACCGGTATTACTAAAGCTTCTCTATTATTTAGACTATCAATGAATGATAAGAAATCTAGCCTACTGCACTTATACAAGAAATTAACAAATAAAAGCTCCTTAGGTTGTGGTATCCCTAACTACTCATGCAAGTGTTATATTTGGATCATTGAATACTACATCTAGGCTAATTATGGTGTAATTTCCTTATGCATTTGAATCCTACTTTCGTAGTGAATCAATTATACTTATAACTAATCCATACCTATTCTCATGGTTATGAAATTAGCTACAAGTTCATTTCTTCAGTGAAATTACATGAAATGAATCACTAAAAACCACATAGGTGCACCTCTACTTTCGTGAGTGTACTCCCTATGTTTAGCACTTCTTGAACTAGTGTTAAGTCTCAATTTTCATTGCAAAAATAACACCTTAGATAATCAGAATTAATGGTACCAGATTAATCATGATTTCAAGAGCCAAAGTGCTAAATAACTTGCTCAAATACTAGCAAACAAATAACCAAATAATAAATACTAACAATTATAGGAAGTTCAACCAAACCCAAGGTATAAACTTTAAAAACACATATTAAATATAAAATCCAGAACTTGTATATTAGCTAAACTTGGAATCAAATACAAAAGATAAAGAGTTGGAAAGGAATGTAACCCATGTCACTTGAGCTCATCACCTTGCCTTCTTCATCTCCATTTTCATCCTAATCTAGATAATGTACAAGAGTGGATGAACTAACTAGCTAAACTATACTACACTAATCTAATACTAAGAGAATGGAAAAACTACATTTCTGCACTTCCAAGCTTCTCCCGTATGCTCTGCATGTCCTGGTTGCTCCCTATATAAACTGCTCCAAAAGCTCCTTTTCCATTGGTCCAAATTTGCTGCATTTGATTTCCAAATCTGAAATTGTTAAGATAGTCAATAGCCATTGTTTTTGACTTGAAAATATGCCAACTTTCTTGCCCTTTTGTCTTCTAAAGCATGTGTACCGAATTCTCTTGCAGATTGTAGCTGGAAAGTAGTCAGAACACAAGAGAATTGACTGAGCAAAATTGCAGAATTGCGGCCGGAAAACGCGCCTACACAAAACGCGGTTACAAGTCACGTTTTGTGTACTCGCGTATTCACTTTGTCCTTACTTCAGCTGCGATTTTCTCTATCATAAAGGCTGAACTGGATTTTGATGTCTCATACCAAATGTAGATATATCTCTTAGCTTCAAAATGGTACCAAGATCACCTTGATCCGATCTGTGTAGCTCCAGATATAGTCAAAATACCAAAACGTGTCAGAGTTGTCAAAACCTGACTTTTCTTGATTCAAATTGCATTTTTCCTTTTTACACTTCATATTTTATTTTCACCACTTTAATCCATCTTCAATCATCCAAATATCTTCTCAATGCACTTCATTTGATGATTGAGTCATTAAACCTACAAAATATGAAGTTTTTACCATAAAAATCCATAAAATGCAATGTTTAGCCATTTTAACATAAAATGTAGTTTTTTTACCAAAACCTTAGTTATTTTAGTTATTAAACTAAATAATCAAACCAAAATTAACTAATAAAACACACAAAAAATACGTAAAATAAACTCTTATCAAATACCCCCACACTTGAACCATTGCTTGTCCTCAAGCAATAAGAAATACAAACCAACAATGATTTGAAAATAAACATATGTAGCATTTCAACTTCATTTCCTCAAAACAAAGTAAATAACCATTATGCAATTATTCAATTAAGTTCAAGTACTCATAATATCAAGTAAAGGAGAGCCAATTATACCGTCATTATAACAAGTTTAATTCAATTTCTCATTCTTACTTAATTTCATACGCAAGTAACTCATATGGTCAATAATATGCTTCCTAAACTCATGATCATTTCTTATTCTACTTAAACAGATATTTATTCATATAACGTAGCTAAATATTACTTAAGTTGTGACAGTGTCTTTTGACGCGAGAATCGACATTTTTAGATGAAGATCACCGGTTACTCAACACTTCACATACTCAAGTTGCTTTGCATACTCTTAATTCAAGTACCGTTTTACGCGAAAGTCGACATTTGTAGATGAAGACTCCCGGTTACTAAGTACAAGAATCATTGGAGTAGAAGAATTTTTATTTATTTTCTTTTTTCTCTTTTTTTTTCTTTTTTTTTCTTTTTTTTTTTTTAACATAAATTCCTCAAAAGAATAATCATGAGAAGAGTATTGCACCTCTTGACCATATTTATCACTTAACTTATAAAATCCAAGAAAGAGAAGAAATTTCATCAAATATGCAAAAAAATATAGGCATAATTTTCTCCACTTTAAAAGATATACTTTCCTACAAATGCAAAAATTATAATCACATAATAGTCATTTCCAAGTTAAATGAGAAAAGAAGTTTCCAAATCACATATATTTATCTCAAATGTAGAAGGAATTTGAACTACTAATAGTATGAAACTTGTTACCCCTTGGATAAAATTGAAAAAATATGAAACTTTTTGGGGCAAGTTTGCAATTTTGGACAAGATTTTAGAAAAAATTTGAATTTTAACACAAGTCCAATATTTGCAACTAATAATTCAATCACATACAATATATATAATCTCAATTCTCCCCCCACACTTAACATACACATTGTCCTCAATGTGTAAAAAGGAAAATCAAGATAAAGAAAGTAATACTCCCCTATGATGTGATTGAATATGAAGCTTCAAAATCCATTGTCCGTGTATCTCCAACGCTTCATGAGTTTCATTGGATAACCATTAGTGATGTAATCCTAAAAATGAAAAATAAGAAACAAAAGTGATAACAAAGGCTTAATAAAACAAAACGGCGATCCGTAATTTCAAACCTTTGTTTTGGTGATGTACCTATATACAATATACAATAAGCAACTCAAGGTACAGGAAAAGAAGAAAAAAGAGAATCAAGGAATCTGCATTTTTTTTTCTCCGAAAACGCGACTCATCAAAACGCGCCACCAAGCCGCGTTTTATGAAGTCGCGTTTCTTCACATATCTTGCAGGATCGAAAACGCGACTGTGTTATAAAACGCGACTTTAAGTCGCGTATTTGAAGTCGCGTTTTCAATTTTTGATCAGGCTGGAAAACGCGACTTGGTAGAAAACGCGACTTCCTGTCGCGTTTTGAAGGCGCGTTTTCTTCAGTATAGGCGCAGAATCGAAAACGCGATTATGGAAAACGCGATTCTAAGGCGCGTTTTCAGCCCAAATGCGTTTTCTTCTGCGAAATTTTTGCAGAAAGCCAACTTTGAAAAATTACCATTTGTACCCCAATCACTCAAAATGCATCATAGATCATTTGTTTGCTAAAATTATCAATGCATGCACATGTAAAATGATCAAAATATGCATTTTAACCCCTTCTAACAAATCAAAAACAACAATTACTCAAATTGAGGGGTTGAGTTCCTTGATCAAATTTCGCCTTTTTCACCTCATTTGGTCACTTTTGCTTCCATTTCCAATACCTACAAATGAAAAATAACAAAATAACTCAAACATATACTTTAAACATAAAATCACCCCAAAATAACATAAACTTAAACAAACATTGGGTTGCCTCCCAATAAGCGTTTCTTTATAGTCAATAGCTTGACTAGTTCACCTTATTTTTCAAGGAGGTTTAGTTAACGAATAATCCACCATTTTAGGCCGTGGTGGATCATTAAAAGGTGGCTTTATCGCAAAAGTCACATGATCTAATGATGTGAGAAATGGAATTGACTTACCTATCCCAAGTGTTTCATAAATATTACCTTGAATATGCACCACTTGAGAATTCACCAAAGAAAATGTCATAAGAGTATCTTGGACAGCAATACCTTTAAAACATATACTTTCACTGCACTCCTCAAGAGGGGTGAAAAATGAGTCATTAAAACTCACCTCTTGAGGCTCAAAGTTAGTTTCAAAGGTATTATCATGTGAAATGGATATTTGCTCATTGAAATATAATTGAGATTCATCATTTTCATCCAAATGCAATCCATTTTCACATACAACATTTCCACCATTCATGCTAGGATCATTTTGCAAATTATTAGAAGAAATAACTTCACACAATACACTCAATTGCTCATTTATTCTGCCAAAGTGAGAAGTTAATTCATCTATTCTTTTTTCAATCCTATCAAAACGGTCGGAAGTCACATTAGCTAATTTTTCTATAGCTAACTCCCAAGATGGTTTTGATTCATATTGGACACATTCAGGTTGGTAATTATAAAAATATGAAGAATCACTATAAGTACCATGATTATCCCAACCATAAGCATTAGCACTATATCGATCAAAACAAGGATTGTAATGCTCTAATTCATCATAATAATCCACATTTTGTGCTTGCATACATGTATTAGTAGCATGATAATCTCCACACAAGTCACAAATCACATGATAAGAATTAAAATCATTAACATTCCTCCCTTGCTCAATTTCATGCATAATTGTGTCCATCATAACATCAAATTTTGCCTTTAAGCACTTCAAACCATCTTCAAAAGACATACCTTCAGTAATTTCTTGGTTACCTCTGTTGAAGGAGTTTTGCACTTGGTAACCATCCATTGCCAATCTTTCATTTCTCAAGCTTTGTCCTCCCAATTCACCTACCCTCCTCATTATCTAAAATTACTTTTAAACAATCTCAAAAGTAAGATCAGTTAAGAAGGATAGATTCCAAGACACAAACTAAAACAGAAAAAAAATAATAATAATAATAAAAATTGACTCAAAAAAATGACATAAAACACACAAGATACAACAAAAACAACAAAAATAAGAAAAATTGTCTAAATTAATAAAGTTGCTCTTCACACCGATATTGCCAAATCTTCCCCGGCAACGGCGCCAAAAACTTGACGGGTATTTTACATACATGCAAGCTAAAAAATACCGAATTACACCCGTTCACTGCAAGTATACAGATCAACTAGTAGTTTAGGGTATATATCGGGTCGATCCCACAAGGAAGAGTGAACAATTACCGGTATTACTAAAGCTTCTCTATTATTTAGACTATCAATGAATAATAAGAAATTTAACCTACTGCACTTATACAAGAAATTAACAAATAAAAGCTCCTTAGGTTGTGGTATCCCTAACTACTCATGCAAGTGTTATATTTGGATCATTGAATACTACATCTAGGCTAATTATGGTGTAATTTCCTAATACATTTGAATCCTACTTTCGTAGTGAATCAATTATACTTATAACTAATCCATACCTATTCTCATGGTTATGAAATTAGCTACAAGTTCATTTCTTCAGTAAAATTACATGAAATGAATCACTAAAAACCACATAGGTGCACCTCTACTTTCGTGAGTGTACTCCCTATGTTTAGCACTTCTTGAACTAGTGTTAAGTCTCAATTTTCATTGCAAAAATAACACCTTAGATAATCAGAATTAATGGTACCAGATTAATCATGATTTCAAGAGCCAAAGTGCTAAATAACTTGCTCAAATACTAGCAAACAAATAACCAAATAATAAATACTAACAATTATAGGAAGTTCAACCAAACCCAAGGTATAAACTTTAAAAACACATATTAAATATAAAATCCAGAACTTGTATATTAGCTAAACTTGGAATCAAATACAAAAGATAAAGAGTTGGAAAGGAATGTAACCCATGTCACTTGAGCTCATCACCTTGCCTTCTTCATCTCCATTTTCATCCTAATCTAGATAATGTACAAGAGTGGATGAACTAACTAGCTAAACTATACTACACTAATCTAATACTAAGAGAATGGAAAAACTACATTTCTGCACTTCCAAGCTTCTCCCGTATGCTCTGCATGTCCTGGTTGCTCCCTATATAAACTGCTCCAAAAGCTCCTTTTCCATTGGTCCAAACTTGCTGCATTTGATTTCCAAATCTGAAATTGTTAAGATAGTCAATAGCCATTGTTTTTGACTTGAAAATATGCCAACTTTCTTGCCCTTTTGTCTTCTAAAGCATGTGCACCGAATTCTCTTGCAAATTGTAGCTGGAAAGTAGTCAGAACACAAGAGAATTGACTGAGCAAAATTGCAGAATTGCGGCCGGAAAACGCACCTACACAAAACGCGGTTACAAGTCACGTTTTGTGTACTCGCGTATTCACTTTGTCCTTACTTCAGCTGCGATTTTCTCTATCATAAAGGCTGAACTGGATTTTGATGTTTTCATACCAAATGTAGATATATCTCTTAGCTTCAAAATGGTACCAAGATCACCTTGATCCGATCTGTGTAGCTCCAGATATAGTCAAAATACCAAAACGTGTCAGAGTTGTCAAAACCTGACTTTTCTTGATTCAAATTGCATTTTCCTTTTTACACTTCATATTTTATTTTCCCCACTTTAATCCATCTTCAATCATCCAAATATCTTCTCAATGCACTTCATTTGATGATTGAATCATTAAACCTACAAAATATGAAGTTTTTACCATAAAAATCCATAAAATGCAATGTTTAGCCATTTTAACATAAAATGTAGTTTTTTTACCAAAACCTTAGTTATTTTAGTTATTAAACTAAATAATCAAACCAAAATTAACTAATAAAACACACAAAAAATACGTAAAATAAACTCTTATCAACAAATTTCCACGTTGATGTGGCAATCGAATAAAGCAAGCAGGTAAGGGTTGTAAGGCACAACCCACCTATTATCAAGAGTAAATCTACGAACTTTGACTTTCTTGCCATCATCTCTCCTCCTATAATATGGATAGGTATCCTCACCGTGAGTCGTTTGAGCACAAAAGCTCTTTGGATAGTGATTTTTGCAGGCTCCATCTCTCATACAAGGACAAGACTTATCCATTGCTCCGCAAGGGCCATGGATCATATGCTTCACAACAAGAGAATACAAGTGAGGATATTGATCTTTGTCGGGCAACTCAGCACAGACTATTTTGTCATACGACTCTGGATTAAGTAGCTTATGACCAGGTTTTAAGATCAATAATAAATGGGCATGAGGAAAGCCTCGTTTCTGGAATTCGATCACGTAAACACACGCTGCAACCTCGCCAAAGATCTGCTTATTTAGAATTTCTGCTTTAAGCATTTCAAATTTGGCTCTAAAAACTCTAGCGAGCAGGTCTGGCCGATCCTGAGGCTTTTCATGGTATTTCAGATTTTCCTGAATTTCCTTCCATGCTGGATTACACGTCATTGTAAGAAAAATGTCGGGTTTTCCATATTTCTGTACCAGGGCCATCGCATCAAGGTAACGGTGCCTCATATCCCTCGGACCACCTATAAAAGAAGCTGGAAGAATGACCTTACGACCAACTTTAGAAGCAGCGGTTTGGCCAACAGAAACACTGTCAAGAATTCCTTGCAGAATTTCAGAGCGTATCTTGTTTTGTCGATGCCTATGAAAGTCAAGCCTACATGTTTCGATCTTGACATAAGCATCGACTGAAAACTGCTGCAGCAACCTAAGAGTGTGTAACAGCATTGACTCATCATCGTCCCTTATTTGGAACCTATAACAGTAGTACTCCCTAGCAGATACAGTACCTTCCTCTGTTTTGCCTCGATCAATAGCTATAAAGAAGGGGAATACGATCTACATGATTAGGTGATGTAATACAATGGATAGGTTCAACAGTTTATAACAAGAGAGAAATGTACTTGCCTCTCTGTTCTAAATCAATTAACTCCGATGAGGAGTTAACTGAAGCTGGATCGATGTTAATATCATCTTCACATGCGTCCCCTCCTCTTTTTCTTTTACTAAGTCTTTTAATTCCGTGGTGCCAGCCACACTCACCACGAGGGAAAAGGAGAGGGTACTGTAAAGGGTCATAGCAGCCATAGTAATGTTGAATCCTATGGCTACCAACTGACCGAGAATAAACTTGAATATGAGCGCGGCTATCGGACGACTGATCGTCACTTTCAGTCCATATAGCCGCAACTTGTGAGGCAGAGGGAAGATTATATATTCGCTGGTCAAGTGAAGGATAACAGCTAAGGACAATGTTCAAATCATCAAGGTTTGGAACATCTCTAAGGCCTTTAAAGAACCGGGCATAAGGATTGTTAGAAAGAATGTACATAAGCAATTTTAAAGTGCTTTCGCGTAGTTTATCAGAGTTACCAAGTCTCTTTGCTAATTCCTCATCAGTGTCAAAAAAATATAATTGGATCCCAGATGGCCTTTCGCCTAAGTGAATAAGGCCATCAAGAAAGTGGTAAACTTGGCCTTGAACGCGAAAAGTATAGACGCCTTTCGTGTTCTTTGTTAGTTCAGAGTCATAGTTTGCGGCAAAAGATGTAAAGCCAAGGTTGTTGTTATAAGTGCGGACAATGTTCCTGAAGTGGGCACTCTCTTCATCATTGGCAATGAATAAACGTTTCAAATCATATGGCATTGGAGGAGCAACGATAGAGATCTCTCCTCCCGAGCAGCAAAAGGAAGGAGGTTCCAAATGGAACCTTTTTGCGTCACAATGCTCACAATCAGGAGCATGAGGCAGAACCAGAGCTGCTTGAGGAATATTGGCAAGGCGAGATATGCTTGAACGCGCAGCTGTTCGTTTTTGTGCTGCAGTTTCATTTCGTGCACGAACAACTTTATTAGCTCTGATTGGTCATCTAGACAAAGTTGAATATAAGGCAAGAAATAGCAAAGGCAAACCAGAAGCAAATCCCAACCTGAGTTGTGTTTGTTCACAGATTCAGGGGTCCTGCATTTTCTGGAGCGAGAACGGACAACAGATGGACCGGCAGAAGGAAGTACTTTTCTGTTTTTTATCTCCAACCAACCAGGTGTTGGACCAGACCTGGCCACCTCCTCTGTGGGAGCAGGAAAGATGTCTGCAAATTGCAGAACAGAATAAGCTAGCTAAAACAGGCCTAAGGACCTTAAAGGAGAATCAGTTAGCAAAGGAAGAAGGGTTCCAGAAAACCAGGCCATAAAGGTGATTATTTAGTATTTATAGGCTGGTCAAAGCGGTTAAGTAGATTCGCAAGCTAACGAATATGGTAAAGTAAGGCAGTACCTTTGGAAGCTAGTTCTAAAGTAGAATCTGAAATTTGAGTAGGCAAAGAATTACTTGCAGAAGCAAATTCTTTTTGAATTGATAGTTCAGGGTTCTTAAGAGATGAATCGAAAGGAAATGAACCTAGTATAAATTCAGAATGTGTATTGCTCACAGGTTGTTCATTTCCACTTGGAAGGGAGTTTACGCCCCTATGTTTTCCTCTAACTGGCTCATCACTGAGCTGGGCATCAAAGGCATGAACGGGGATTTTTTTTGCCTCTACACCAACAGATGATCTCTAATATTTCACTGGTGCAAGGCTATCACAGAACAGGGGTGCTACAGTTAAGAAGAAAGAGAGTGGTAACTGGAGAGATACAAGGGAAATAACGATAGCTAAGAAAGACAAATAATGCTAAATGGCGCTACAGAGTGGGAGTTAAATGGCTGAAGGGATTGCACGTTAAACAAAGCTGGTATACCTTCAGGAGCAAGTGTATTTTGTAGAGGCATTTCTTTTCCAAAGGAGGAGGAAGCATAACCAGTAAAGGAACCAGGTGGACAACGCGACATGAATTCTAATCCTTCCCTAATCGCAAAGGCATCATCAGCTGGAAACACAGCATTTGTGTTTCCCAACGGCTGAGAATGCACAAACGCAGGATCCTCACTATGACATGGCATATGTTGAGTAGCTGGGAACGACACACCAGTTTCGACATATCCTAACGGGACCCTGCGAACACGCGGGGGTAAAGCTTTTCCAGCTTTCTTTGAAGCTCGAGTTTGCCTTCGGGAACGCAGAAGTTCCGCTTTCTTCAGAGGTGGCATTTCTGCATATTTTTTGCGGCGCAAAGCATTCCTATCCATCTGACCGCTATAGACTCTAGCAGGTGAAAAGAAAGGCTAACGTACACCACTAATACACGGCCAGAGTACTAACTAAATAAGCATAAAGGAGGCCAAAGTTCTAACAAGATTGAAACACAAAGAAACGGCATAAGAGAGGCATGCACCAAACGTCGGTTTCCCCAAACAAAAATAGAGAAAGAAAAGCTCAAGCGCAGCCTTTACACAGCAGCATGGAACTGAGCAGACATTCAAAACAAAACAGAGTAAAGAAAAGCTAAAGTACAGCCCTTACACAACACCATAGAATTCAGCCAATATATTAAAAAAGAAACAGAGTGAAGAAAAGATAAAGCACAGAGCTTACACAACAGCATAGAACAGAACAGATAAGAAAACAGGAGTTAAAAGGCTGAGTAAAGGCGGCAACAGCTAAAAGCGAGGTAACAAAAGCATGTAGCAAAATGATTATTGGGTACGAGCAAGGTAAAAGCACATACAGAAGGGAGAATAAGTAATGGCACCTTAACGTTAGATAACAAGCCTTTATTACCCAACAGCAGAGCAACACAGAAAAGGACAACACCTGAATAAGCCAGTGAGAGCAAAAAGGGTAAGAAAATATAATATCAAAAAGTAAATGCAGCACAACAAGCATCAGAGAACAAAGTGGGTAAAAATATAAGAAATTCAAGGGGAAAAGGGGAAAATCACTAAATAGAAGGGGGGCAAGATAACTTGTACGTAGCAACAGCAGCAAAACAAAAGGGGAAAAAAATACAGCGACGCAAGAAATGACGACAGGAGGAAAAATGGAAAACTCAAAGAGTAAATACAGGACAACAAGCACCAGAGAGTATAGTGGGGAAAAATATAAGAAATGCTAGGGGAAAAGGGGGAAATCACAAAACAGAAGGGGGGCAAGATAACCTGCACGTAGTAACAGTAGCAGAACAAAAAGTTTAAAAAAAAAAAAGGCTGATGCAAGAACCACTGGCAGGAGGATAAATGGAAAACACAGGGGGAAAGGCTGCGGCAGAAAGGTAAATTTAAGCAGGGAGCTTGAGAAGCAAAACGAGCGCCAAAGCAAAGCAAAGAGGCAACGCAACAGTAACAGCTCAGGATGGCATAAATTGCAGGTGAGGAAAAACCAAAATAAGCACGACAGGAAACGGGAACACAATCAGGAGAAGTTAAATCCAAACAATAGTAGCGGAATTAAAGCTTACGCAAGGAGGCAGCAAGATAGCAATTGTTACAAAGGAAAGAAAAAGCAGAAAAAAAGAAACGAGGCAGCAGCTCAGAATGAGGAAGCAAGCAGCTGGAGGGCCAGAAAAGAACAATGAAAATGAGGCACAATTACCGCGGATCATGATGACGAAAGCTGGGAGAAGCGGAACCTGAAACATAGAAACCTCTGCATACATCGGAGAAACAAAGGGCTTTCAGTCTTGTCAATCAAAGGAGAGAGCAAAAAGTGTTTTTTCGGCAGCTCTCTAGAGCAGAGCTGAAGCTCCTTCACACCAAATTGCAGAGAGGAAGGAGCTCAGCAAGATAGAACGGTGCATCTGTCTTTTTTAAAAGAAGGGCAATATCGTCAAATCATACCAACCCACATTGAGCCCATCACCCAACAGTTGTCATCAATCAAACTATCAGCAACCGTCATAATAAGCTTACTCAGCTGGCAATACAGAGATACGTTCCTTCTCAAAAACCAAAGGTCCAAGTTTTCTTCTCTCAGGCAACAAGAAGAAGGATTGCACTTCTCCTCCCAGCAAAAGCACGCGACTCCCACGTGAGTGACGACCACCAGCCAGCGAATAAAATCCAGCCACGTCAGCACAACAACCACAACTCTTAGCAATTCCATTCGCTCTTTTACTATATAGGTTGAAGAAGTAGAGCAGCAACAACAGGATCTGCACGCCAGTCGTTCGGCATATCTTGTGCAGAAGAAAAAGCCCCTCAATTATTCCGATACCTTGTGCGTGATGCTATTTTTGTTGACAAGGACTAAAGTTGGCGGAAGGAATGCGAGTATATATTTTAATTAGTTGGAGGATTAAAACTGTTCGGTTAATAATTAAACGGTCAAAATCGAACTTTGTGATAAGTTAAGAGCTACCGAAACATTTTACCCTATTTTGTTTAACGGCCAATTTCACATGTAATTTGGATTGAACAGACCAAATGAACCCGATTGACAAGGCAGAAACAAAAAAAAAATTTTGGATCCGGGAACCTCAAATATAACAATCAACAACTTATGCTGACTGTTCACATGAAACATTGGAACGCCGCCATCCATTTTTTTCAAAAGGAGACAATTCTTTGGAACATGATCACTATATCCAACTGCCTTGTCTGCAAAAGACAAGAAAATTAACCCCAAGAGGATGTATAAAAGCTAATGAGGAAATTTAAAACCCCTTTGTTGTTTGATCTGTGAGAGTTACTGAAGTAGAGTGGTTGCGTATGATCTTTAGAGAATTCTAGAACGGAATAGTGACAATAAAGCTTCTAGAGAAAAGTTAGCCAATCGGTGCCTCAAATGGCAAAATTTCACGGTGAAATCGGACTAGAGTTTCACTTTTACTTTTACTTTTTGTGATGTACATTGAATGCTTGTCTTAAAGTCCGAGGGGGTGATCTAAATTAGGTTATAATAACAATTTTATACATAAGTAGCAAAGAACACGCAAATTAGCAGGCAACAGCCATAACAATAGATGGTAATCTGTAACTCACTGGTAAAGTTTATTAGATAGGATCTTATAAAAACATAAAAACACAATCCATTTAAATAATTAGTTTCTCCCCCCCCCCTCATTTCCCACCCCAAATCAATCCATTTAAATAATTTCATCTTTTTGCTTTCATATTTCCCCTTCAAAATTCCATATAAGCAGACAAACATCATGATTGCTCGTATTACAGAAATTTTAAAATCTATGGATCATTACATCTTTAAGCACATTATAAAATTTGTTAGGATCCATGCGCAGAACACATGACTATTGACGTACCAAAGGCACAATAATTTAATGACAAACAAGTCACAAGTATGAAAGATAAATGATACAAAATATTTCATGTGGTTCGACTTCATCATTGAGCCTACGTCTACAGAGAGAAATCCGTTTTTTATAATGAGAAAAAAATCCTATACATGATTGTTGAGTTGTCTTTTGTTTAATTATATCAAGGCATTTTTATCATTTTGTTCATTTCCGTTAATTTTAATGAATTCCGTCACTTTTACAATTTAGTTCAAAACATGAGTTCTCGTATTCTACGTTTTGAAACTACAGGAAACTTTTTTATATATTAACTTTATCATGAGACTTTTTTGTTTTTTACCTAAAAGAGAGAGAGAGAGAGAGATTGCATTTTTCGCACATTCTCCCATGATAAAGGAATTGCTGACGCATTTTTGCTGAATCAGCGTGGTGACGTCCTTGTCTTGAGCACTTCAGCTAATCTTTAATCATTTCTTTCACTTTAAAAAATATTTCTATTATGGTCTGACAGAACATTCATTGTATCTCCGTTGTTGCCCGATGAGCCAATGATTCTACAATTCAGATCGACGTCATGCAACAATTCGGAAACTCTGGCTCCATGGTTGCCTCATTGTGCAATAAGATAAGCGAAGAATAATCTTCTTTGCTTTATGGGTAAATTACACATTACCCAACCCTTATGGTATAGTTGATTTTTATATAACTTTCTTGTAGTTTTAAAAATTATACATAATATTCTCATAGTTGGATTGAAGTACTAAAGTGACGGAAATGATCATTCGTAACGAAACTTATGAAAATATCAAAATTATCACAATTTAAAAACTAAAATGATTGAAATGATCAAAATATATAAATATAATATGTATGGCACTTTGATCTTATATGATTTTATATTTTACCATATATCTCTCGTTTGATTTAAAATCAAAGTCATACTTCACTGAGATGACACAAACTCATTCTTGTGGGGCTTATTTTCTAAACTCTATGATGAATTTTCGGCTTATGGTAAATAGTTAAACTTCGTGATACTTGTTTAGTCAAGGAAAGGTTTATGGTGGGTACCTTAAAGCCCATTCTCCATACTAGTTTGCAACTGTGTTATGCACGTATTTGGCAGTGTCTCATTTACTATTTCACTATTCAATTCGTTGCAATAAAATCTACTGAGCCAATACTTGATGGCTGAGAATCCCATATTCTATGATGTCAATGGGTTTATGCATTTCATGCATTATTGGATGTTTTGCAAGTCATACGTATTTGTATCATTCTGTTCAACTAGACATCCATTACTTCCTAATAAGCAAGTTGTAAGTTTATAAGACTGAACGAAACAAGAAATTGGTCTTTCTTTGGTGACATAACATAGAATTGTCTAAAAACTAAAAGTTGTGGACAACTTCTTTTTCTTCTTCTTCATTTTTTTTTCTTTCTTGGTGGGAAACTTTTCTTCTTCGATATTTTTATTTTTGCAGTAACAATCTGCTGAATAGTTTACTCCCAATGATGCAAAGAGCAAACTTAATTCTCGCCGTGCCTAAGTTATATATGTTTTAAAGACTCAGTCTCATATGATGTCAGTAATCACCCGCAAAAGTTTAATGCTGCTTATGTACATCATGTGGAACGGCTGCCACATAAAATAAACCCTTATTATCTCTCTCCGACTCTTTCTCCTACCTTTTTTCTCCCGCATCTCATAATTTACTATTTTTTCGCAACTGCCATCTACACAACTATCTAATACATCTCGAATCCTCATTATTATGGAAATAGATTCTCTCTCTTTTCTTGTTTTCCTTTTTTTTATAAGTATTATTGAATTGAAATTGCCAAATGACAAGTTACTGGATCGGATTTATTGTCAAACTAAATAAAGGTGCAAAAGATGGCTGTGATATAGAGTACATACAAGAAAATAAAAGTAATAGCTAAAAAGGGAGCATGGATTGAGAAAGGTTACATTATTATACCAATTGTGTAAAAAAG